CGCGGCTGGCTGAGCACATGCGGGGCCTGCAGGGCCGCCTCGCGCTCCGCAGCCAGGTCCAGGTCCTGCTGCACCAGGTGCGCCCGCAGCTGCCGGACCTCAAACTGCAAGACGGAGAGGGGCGGTGGGTGGTGGGCAGCACAGGCCCAGCCATGAAGTCGGGGTGCTTAGCTCTTTGGGGGGTGGGGAGGAGTGGGCCGAGCACCCGCAGGCTGGACGGGGCGTTTCTTGCACATCTCCCAAAAGCTCTGATTGCAGAGACCTTCAACGTTCATGGAGCCACCTCCGAGGGACAGTGTGTTCCCGTGTCCCGCCCCTGATGCCGTGGGGTCGGGCCCCCCCGCGGCTACAAGGCCACCGTGGCTTGTGGGAGGAGCGCTGGAGGAGGAGTTGGGAAAACCGGGCGTGAAGACGGCTGTAGTTACTGCCAAAAAGTCCGGCCCAGGTGCTGCTCATCAAAGTGAACCCCTTAATTCAGATTTCTGACCCAGGTGATGAATGGAAGACAGGAAAGCCCAGGATGGGCAGGGCCAGCGTGACCAGGCCTGGGGGCCCATCTGGCAGCACGTGCTCCCTGGCCGCCGGCGGGCCCCTTGTCTTCCGTGAACACCACGGCCCTCGTCTGGGAAGTGCCCCAGGGCTGCTGGGCGGGGATCTGGTTGCACCCCACGGCCTACTGGCCAAGTTCCTCATTGGTAAAAATGGGGTTTTCACTGCACAGAGCTCTTCCACAACTCGGATGCTTCATAGGACCCTGAAGCACTTTGATTTAGTCCCTTTTGTTGGGGAGAGCTTCCTAAAGAGGCTCCGTATGCCTCTCGGGTGTGTGTAGAGATGGCTGCTCACACTCGGGCCTTCCTGGGCCTTGTGGGCAAAGGTCAAGTTTGGGCCTGACGCCAAGGCGGCCGTGGGCTCAGCAGCAAGGGGCGCCTGCACTGCTGCCTAGTGTTCCAAGTTCAGGCTGCGTGGCTTCTGCACAGCCTCCGGTCAAATCCCCAAAGGCCTGGCTGCGGGTGGGGGGTGAGGGGCGGGACAGTGTCCCAGGGAGGCCCCGGGCCTGGGCTCCCTACCTGGAAGCTGACCTACTCGCCCATCATGCCCAGTCTCTGGCCCTGAGCACCCCCTGCCGTGCTGGGCCTGTGTCCAACTCCCCACCCGACAGCAACACAGAACTAGGTCCCGGGAATCCCGAACGACCAGGCCCAATCAGGGCACTTCACTGTGCCCCCAGCCTGCTCCTCAGGCGGCTTCCTCTCACTTTGGCTGTTGCCATAAATGTGACCATCGCCCTTGCTTCCTTCCTCACCTTCCCTCACCCCGCCATCCAGTCTGCTCCCAAGTGCTCCCCCAAGCCTGCCCACCGCCCTCCACCTCCAGCGCCTGAATGGCTGCGGCCTCTACCGCCCACCACTGCCGCTTCTCCAACAGGAGTCAGAGGGATCCTCATAAACCCAGATCAGATCATGTCACCCCCTTGTCTATAAAGCTCAGCTGGGAAAAAGCCCAAACTCCTTCCACTTAGTTTACAAAGCAGGTGCCTGTTCTGGCCCTGCTGAACCTGGCCACTCCAACTCCTTCACTCTCCCTGCCCTGTCCCTGAGGCCCAGGCCTTTTTGTAGTTCCTTCCTTAAATACACCAAGTGTGTTTTGGGCTCACGGCCACTTACCCAGCTGTGTTCTCTGTTCCTAGCTCACACGGCCAGCTCCCCCGAAGAGAGGACTTCTCCCACCCCACCGAAGCCAGCCACCCAGGAACTCTGTCACATCACCTGTTTGAATTCTCTACATTCCACTTAGCACCTTCTCATATTTTTGTTTGTCTTAATGTTTTATTTTTCTTTTGATGAGAATGAAATACACAAAGCCCTCACCAACACTAGAATGGCCAGGCAGCAAACCAGGGCTTGGACAACTTCCCAATGTTGTCCACAGGTGTTGTCCCTGGGACCACTTAGTGTTGCCGGGCTCATAAGCATACTGCCTAAGCTGCCTCTGTGCCAGAAGCAGGGTGGGGGCTGCGGCAGAAGGTCCCATCATTTGATGGAAGGACTTTCACTCTGTCCTCCTTTTCAGCCCTACACCTCCCCACAGGCTCCTTCCTGGCCCAGTTCCCACATGCAGAGCTGTGGATAAAATGAGAGTTCCTGTGGCAGGATTCTCACCTGGCCCTGGTTGACTAGCTCACTGCACACCTGTGGACAATACATGGCTGTTGACTCTATATGAAGAGCTCCGCCCAGTGCTCTGGGCGCAACACGGTGGCAGGGCTGCAGGGCTGCAGGAGAGCAGAGCAGAGGCTGGAGTGGTGGCAGTGCCGAGGACAGAGGCCCAGAGCACGGCTGTGCAGACAGAGGGGCCCAGGGGCAGAGACCGGCTTGCTGCATGCAGACTCTCTCTGAGTGAACGGGATGCTAGTGACTGACCTGCCACCTGGAAATAAAGTTGGGTATAACCCTTTCACCCCAAGAACGTTTGCTGTCAATTTCTTTGGTCACATTGAATCCATAGCGAACTTGCCCGGGGCTGAAACCCATTGGCAAGACAAGAGCCCTATGGTTCTATTTCTCCCGAGGACAAATCTCTTGACTCTTGTAGGGGGTATCTGGGCGGGGGAGTCCGGTCTCTAGGCTGTGCATGATCTGTACACAAATATGTGTACAGACTTTTAGCCACACCCCTCCCCTGTGGTCAGCTTCAGATTCACCCCCTTCCTCCCAAACTCTCTAAGGTTCTGAGGGGAGAATTAGCCCATTTTCCTCCCTGTCCCTTGTAGGCACTTAGTTATAATTCTCCACTCTCTAATCAGTTACCGCTTTCTCATCCACTCTCTATTTTCCCCAGATCTACTGACATCTCTATCCTCTTTGTCCTGATGGACAGGACTTAAAGAAACAGTTTCTTAATTCTTATATGTGCTTATGATTATTGTCTTTACTATCATTTTAGTGGAGTTCGGGTAAGAATAAAATACATGTGGTCACTCTGTCCTTTTCTTTTAAGGACTGCTTACCGGTTTTCCTCTCTCCTACAGTGGTCATGAATGAACAAGCACAAGAAGCCTAATTTGCAGTGTAGGCTAATCTCTGTGGTGTAAATACTCCCACCATGGCTGATTGCAAATACCAACACCATGTCACGCAGAATGAGAAAGAAATGTGCACAACTGGCTTTCACGAGCCAGTGAGAACTCCAGCACACCACTTCCTCTCCTCACCCTCCAAGAGAATATAATCTCTGTAAAAGCAGGGATTTTGTCTGTTTTATTGCCCAGTACATAGCAGGCACTCAGTAACTGCTGTTGCTTTGCTCAATTCTGTGGTTTTAGGCTGAGCCCTAACTTTACCCAGAAACAGCCCCGACCTGAACCCAAAGCTGAGTCCCGATGCTGAACCCTGACCCTGCTCACACACTGAGGTCCTGTCCTAGTCATGGACACAGCCTTACCTCTGGTCTCAGACGGGCTCAGTGTCTAGACCTCAACAATCCAGTAGTGAGACAGGGCCACTGGTCTCAGAGGATTAGAAAATAACGATGGCTTATTATAAGGTGGCCTTCTGTGCAGATGGAGAAGGTTGGAGCCACTGCCCTGCCAGCAAGGTGTCAGCTGTCACTTACGGGCAATGAGACAACTCTCCTGAGCTCTGCTGGGACTGGGAGTCCCTCCTGGCCAGGCTGACCTGAACTTCCCATGGGCATAACCAGCCCACTTTCTCCAAGGCTGCTCATCAGGGCTGGCAGGCCCAGCTAATGGCCTCCTAGGCCATTCTGAATAGATGCATTATTGATAACTTGTAATTGATACACAGCTGCCCATGAGTGTCCCACTGGAATTCAGGCTGGACAGCCAGAGGCTAGGGTTTGTCTCACTCCAAGCCCACATATGCAGTCATAGATATGTACACTGAAACACATTTTAGGGTACAGAGATGAACCACAAGTTAGTTCTCCCATTCATTCATTCATTCATTCATTCATTCATTCATTCATTCATTCACTAAGAAGTCAGGTAACACATGGTGAGGCCTATGTTGAAATTGCTATGTGTTTAGAATGAAAATACCTCTCCCAGCTTGGAAGTGAGTCCTGGGTGGCCCCAGGGAGAGGGGCTATCTGCTGCACTTCAGGGAATAAATCTCCTGTGAGAGTCCCAAGGGCTGGCTCTGGGTGGCACTTGGGTCAAAGAAGGCACGGTGTGTCTGAGAGACAGAGGACTGGCAGCTCAGAGCGATTGGGGAGGTTGGCAGAGGCCACGCCAGGCAGAGCCTTGTAGCCACAGTAAGATGCTTTAAGGACTTCAGTCTTTATTTAAAGAACAAGAAGAAACCATTGAAGGAAGGGTAGAGTGGTGGGGTGGGTGGTGGCCTGGTGATTCAGATGAGCATTCCAGAGGGGTCATGCTGACAGCAAAGTGGAGGATGGATTGGACAGGGCTGGGCCAGGGTGGGTGTGGGCGTGCCACATGGGAGGCTACTGCACTGTCCAGCCCAGAGATGGCCAGAATTTGGACTAGGGTGGAAACAGTGGAGTTGGAGATAAGGAAACTATGGAGGAGGTGAAAGTGTTGGCCCGGGCATGGACTGGAATGGGGGTGAGAGGGGCGACAACCTGCTCTGGGTATATTTTTACAAGCTCCATACCTGGGGGTGCAGGGTAGCTGGATGCTCTCATCCCTGCCTCTGAAGAGGGGTGACTGTCTCCTTACAAGGGAACTGCAGGCAGGCTAAATGGCTGTGAGCTCTGGTCATGGGCTGTGACCACCCGGGGGGCTGTCAGGATGTTCTAGCTGGGACCCTCAGAGCTTAGCTCTTGATTCCCCTTCTGTGAACATGGCCAGGACCACGTGGTGAATCAGAAGCCAAACTGGGCCCAGAACCCATATGGATAAGATGGAAGTGACCCAGCTCAAACAGAGTACAGGAGAGCTTCACAGCAGCAGGGGCCGGAAGGAGCAGGAGACCCCCTCACGGGGGAAAAGCAAGGCTGGAGGCAGGAGCCTGGGCTCTCGGTCCATCACTGTCCTCTCACTCGACCTTGGGACCTTGATGTCACTGTGTGCTCAGTAAGGCAAGTGGACTCACTGAATTCTCAGCTACGGCAAAGTCCC